CACACACACATACACACACACATACACACACAATCACACACACAATCACACACACAATCACACACACACACACACACGCACACACACATACACACACAATCACACACACAATCACACACATATACACACACAATCACACACATACATGCTTAGACAACCACCCCTTCCCCCCAAAAAAACCCCAACAAAACCCCAACCGAAACAAAACAAACAACAACAACAAAAACAACAAAAACAACAAAAACAACAACAACAACACAACACACACACATATAATACATACATACACACTTACCACACGCATCAATAACATTCTATATATTTAATATATAAAGAATACAGTACAATAAGACTATCTATAAATCTCCTAATGTTATATCCTTATAAACATACCAACAACGATGCCGTAGAAAAAGACGAGGGCGGGAAGAGAGTAGGAGAAACTGGCGAGGAGTAGTCCAGTACTGATGAGAATCACGCCCACAAAGATGGTCACTCTCACGGACAGAAGACTGGCGAATAAACCGCTCACTGGACCTGGAGGGGGAGGGGGGAGATTTGGAGATAGATGGATGGATGAATGGATGGGGAGAGGGAGGGAGGGAGGGAGGAAGGGGGGAATTTGTAGATAGGTGGATGGATGGATGGATGGGTGGATGGGTGGGTGGGTGGATGGATGGATGGATAGATGGGTGGATGTATGGATGGATGGATGGGTGGATGGATAAATGGATGGATAGATGAATGGATGGATGGATGGATGGGTGGATGGGTGGGTGGGTGGATGGATGGATGGATAGATGGGTGGATGGATGGATGGATGGATGGGTGGATGGATAAATGGATGGATAGATGAATGTATGGATGGATGGATGGATGGATGGATGGATGGGTGGTTAGGTCGGTGGGTGGGTGGATGGATGGATGGATGGACGGACGGATGGATGGGTAGGTGGATGGATGGATGGATGGATAGATAGATAGACAGATATACGTATAGATAGATAGATAGATAGATAGATAGATAGATAGATAGATAGATAGATAGATAGATAGATAGATAGATAGATAGATAGATTGATATACGTATAGATAGATAGATAGATAGATAGATAGATAGATAGATAGATAGATAGATAGATAGATAGATAGATAGATAGATTGATATACGTATAGAGCGAGCTATTATTATCGAGAAGAAGCGGAAGAGAGAGAGAGAGAGGAGAGACCACACCATACCCTTCATCATCGACCCAAAAGCGCTGGAAC